CCCGCACGGCCGCTGCGCTCTGCAGGGGGATCAGCAGCGGCTTGAGCTCCGGGAAGTCCGTCACGTGCAGAGAGGGGTCCTCCAGGTCGTTTCCAGCCAGGGCTGCTGGCTCCCCCACCGGGCTGCACGGGGCTTCCTCCTGGGCCGTTCCCAGCTCCGGACCCTGGAAAACCTCCAATTCCGGCAACGTCCTTTGGAGCTCTAAGTGCTCCGGCTCCTCCTCGGGGTTCTCCAGCTCCACTTTGACCACCACCTCGCTCTCCACTGCAAGACAAAGAGAACATCAGAGCGGCCAGGCTGGGTCAGGCCAAAGGTCCATCTAGCCCAGTGTCCTGTCTGCCCACAGCGGCCAATGCCAGGTGCCCCAGAGGGAGGGAACAGAACAGGGAATCATCAAGTGATCTCTCCCCTATCATCCATCCCCAGCCCCTAGGAAACAGAGGCGAGGGACACCGTTCCGACCTATCCTCCATGAATGTATGTAGTTCTTTTTGGAACCCTGTTAAAGTCCTGGTCTTCACAACATCCTCTGGCGAGGAGTTCCACAGGTTGATGGCGCACTGCGTGAACACAGGCAGCATTCACTGCCCAGGCGGGGGGTGCTGGCACCTCCTGAAAGACGGCGCCTGGACTCCCAACTCAAGCCCACGGATGGGTGGTGACTGGCCACGGCCAGGGACATGAGACAAGCCTCTCAGAGTAGGGAGCCTCGTCGGCACAGCATTCCAAGAAAGTCTCCCCCGCCCCGTTCAGTGCCATTGGTGCAGTCCGCCCTGTGGCGCCAGCAGCATCTCGACCACTCCTCCCAGGACAGGCGTGAGTGGGCGGACTGTACCATGCTCGTCACGAAGGGAGACCTTCTTCGGCTGTTCACACAGGTGCGGCCCCAGTGCCTAGCACTGAGCCTCCGGTCTCTCCTGAGCCTCCAGTCTCTCGTTCAATCTCACTCACTCTCTCTCTCCTCTCCTACTGCCTCCCCCCCAGCTCTCCTCCCCCTCCTGTCGCTCTCTCCGTCTCTTTCTTTCTCTTCTCCCCCTCTTGCCTCTCACTCTCCTGTTCTCTTCTTCTCCTCCTCCTGCCTCTCTCTCCCGTCTGTCTCTCCCCGCCCCCTTCCCCTTCCCCTTCCCCTTTCCCTTCCCTCCTGCCGTGGCACTCGGCTGAGTGCTGCCTGCTCAGCTGGGCTGCCGCGTGGGAGGGGAGCAGGAAGGTGATGTACACAGCCAGGGGGCGGGGCCGTGTACGTCACCGCCCTCCCTTCCCCTCCCACCCTGGGGGAGCCCAAACAGCCCCTTGCGCTGCTGGTTCCCCTGGCGGCCCGGCTCAGGGGCGCAGCACTCAGTTGAGTGCCACAGCAGGAGAGGAAGGGGGGGTGGTGATGCACAGAAAGTGGGCTACTATATATATGATATGCAACCACACTTAACTTGGGGCTATCAGCATGTGCTGTGAGTATCATTGTGGCCCCTGGGGCTTCCAAAGCTGAGTAGCCCTGCCTTAAATGTCTGCTTCTTGGCAAAGCTGTTCTGGAATCCACAAGGGGAGAGACAATTCCTGATTTAGTCCCAAATGGAGTAGAGCGGCGCAGAAGTCAGCCGAGCGCCATGGCGGGAGGCAACAGCGCCGCCCAGAGGGAACAACCAGCGTTTCAGCGTTGCAGAGTCACAGACATTAGGCTACTATATATATCTGATATGATGGGGACTAGTTTGCAGGGCTTAACAAACCGCAGCAAAATCTACTTGCCAGCCCCACACTGCACATCTGCCAGACCCACTTTGTGCACGCGCGCACCGCTGGTAAACGGGGCGACCGGCTGAAATCTACTCGCCCCGGGAGAGTAGATTCACTGATTTGTCGAGCCCTGCTAATTTGGCTACAACTACTCAAGAGCAAGATCTCGGAGTCACCGTGGAGAGTTCTCTGAGAACATCTGCTCCGTGTGCAGCGGCAGGCAAAGAAGCAAACAGAATGGCCTCTGACCCGATGGGGAAGAAGAAAAGAAATTCTCCACATTCCCTTCACACAGCAGAACCTCGCAGGGTCCAGCCTAGTAGGTTTCGTGTGCTCCTGCCTGGCAGGGTGCTGAGGGGGGCTGGACCACCAGCACGGGATCCTCAATGCTGGCAGGGGGCCCTGAGCCTTGGGGGCCGGATCCAGGCAAGCCTGGGGCCGCATCTGGCCCCTAGGCTTGAGGTTCCCCACCCTTGGGATACAGAGTAAGATAAAGAATATCTGATTGCCTCTGTATCAATCCGTGGTTCGCCCACATGTTGAATACTGCGTACCGATGTGGTCGCCTCATCTTAGAAAAATTATCTTGGCCTTGGAAAAAGTTCAGAAAAGGGCAACAAAAATGATTATAGATTTGGAATGGCTGCCTTATGAGGAGAGATTAATAAGACTGGGAATTTTCCACTTGGAAAAGAGAGGACTAAGGGGAGATATAATAGAGGTCTCTAAAATCACAAATGTGGAGAAAGTGAATAAAGAAGAGTTATTTACTCTCTCAGATGATACAAGAACTAGGGATCATCAAATTAAATTAATAGGGCGCAGGGTTATAAACAAACAAAAGGAAGTTTTTCTTCACACAACGCACTGTCAACCTGTGGAACTCCTTGCCAGAGGATGTTGTGAAGTCCAAGATGAATACAAGGTTAAAAACGAGCTAGATAAATTCATGGAGGTTAGGTCCATCAATGGCTATTAGCCGGGATGGGCAGGAATGGTGTCCCTAGCCTCTTTTTGTCAGAGGCTGGGAATGGGAGACAGAGGAGGGATCAGTTGATGATTCCCTGTTCTAGTCACTCTTTCTGGGGCACCTGGCATTGGCTGCGGTCGGCAGACAGGACACTGGGTGGGATGGACCTTTGGTCTGACCCAGCCTGGCTGGGCGCCGTGAATCAGGGCTGATGTCACTCCTGCGAGGGTGCTGATGCTCCAGCTCTGGGATTCAGCAGGCCCCCTTGCGAGCGCTCACAGACCCCCAGGTGAGAATCACTGCCCTATGCCCCCTGCTCTGTTCCTCTGGCACCCCCCCCTCCTTCCAGGCCCCAGAGACCTCTCCTCTCTCTGAGTCCTCCCGGCCCCCGACGCAGGGCTCCTGCCCCCGTTCAGCCTGGGCCAGGAGGTCGGGCTTGGAGATGGCGTAGTCTGTTCGCGGAGAGAGACAGCGACGCTCACCGGCTGCCTGGCGCGGGAAGGGCCCCCCCCAAGCCCGCTGGAGGGGGAAGAGGCACGGAGGCAAACCCAACCCAGCAGAGCTGCGCTCTCCACCCCTGCCGGTTCAGGCTGGGCTCAGATCACCCGATGGCTCCCACGGAGCAGCAAAGGCTCACGGATGGCCACTGGGCCACTTCGCCTTGCTGCAGGGGATCAGCCGCTGGGTCAGACCCAGACCCCACAGATGCGTATGTGCTGTGGGTGTGGCCCATTCTCCCCTGCCCCTCTGACAAAATAGCCTTGCAGCACATCGGTCGTGGGGGCTGCAGTTTGAAGGGTGGGAATCCCCAGGGAATCAAGAGATGGCAGGAGCCGCCTGTCCCGCCAGCCCTGGAGCCTGTCACACCTGCTGGTGAAGGGAACCATGCTGCATAGATGCTCGATTCACTCGCGTCTCACAGCCCCGCCCCAGCCACTACGGCAGCACCCAGAAAACACGCCTCCCCCAGAGCACAGCGAGTTTCAGCAGCCCCAGGTCCTAGGGGAGTCCAGGGGTCCTCACCCAGCGAGATGAGGGCCTCGTAGTTCCCCTTCACCGCGTTCTTGTACAGCTCCTTCTGCCACTCTGCCAAGCTCTCCCACGCCCGCTCGGGGAAACAGCCTGAGACGTCATCACAGGGCACCGGGACCTGGAACCACAAGCATTGCACGCTCAGCAGCGGCTGCTGGACACTCGTGATGCTCCACACACAGGCAGGGGAAAATACTGAACACACACGGCAGGGGACACAACCCCCCACTCCCCATCCAAGCATGTTGCTGTGCAAGCTGCTCAGATCATCTCACACACAGGAGGAAAGGACCATCGGCCCTTGCAGACCCCTTTGCAGTCCAGGGCGAGATTCACAGCGCCATGCTCAAACCCAGGTGCTCCTGGATGGGAGGAAGGGTGCGACAATTCGAGCCCGTTTCCTCTCCAGAATCCTCTGTCCCCCGCCGGACCTGGGAAAGCACCCCCTCCCCCGCTCAGCCCTGCTAAAAAGGTGAAATCTTCCTAGGAAGCCACCCCAGCAGCAGGATCGTTGTTGTGCGGGAAGCGTCAGGCACGCTCCAGTGAGGAACACCCGGCAGTCCAGCGCGATCGGAGGCTTTCACGCTTTATCCTCCCCTTGCATTGACTGGAAGGCAGGGAAGAATAGAACGGGGTGACCAGGGCTTTGCAGAGCCCGGATAGGCTGGTCTATACCAGCCCTGTAGCTCACCCGGGTGCAACTCCCCTTCCATTACACGACTGGAGGCCCCACTGTGCTAGGTGCTGTACATACCGAGGAATGGGGAGGGGGGCAGGCTACTCCTCTCTCTTTTTCCAGCCTGTTTGCTGCGTGCACATGACAGCACCTTTGCATTAAGCCTCACGTTCACTTTCTCCCCACCAAGCCGGCCAGTTTCCCGGCGGTTTGCCTGGGCCTGCTGCACGGCCGTGGTGTAAAACGAAAGCGGAATTTGTAAACCCTCACGAACGGGCAGGGGGCACCCAGGGGTGAGAGAGAAGCTGAAGCCACTTCCAAGTTGTTTCTAGGCCTTGAGTCCATCCTAGTTACGGGCAGGGTTCCCGCTAAGCCGTGGGGCAGCCCCGCTTCACAGGTGATTAATCAGCCACGCCCGGGCAGAGGCTCAGGGCTCAGAGTGGATCTGACTGACTGGGCAGGGTTGATATGATGCTGGGCTGCCCCTCGGCTTAGAGTCAACACTGGTTATGGGTACTGTGACGTAGTCCCCATCTGGATTAGGGATGTTAAATTGCGGTTAATTGACTAGTCGAGTAGTCGATGGAATTTCCGTTGACTACTCGACTAGTCGATAGGCACTTCCGCAATCCTCCTTTGAAATGTACAAGAGCCCCAGCAGGGGCTCTTGTACATTTCAAAGGAGGAACGTGGAACTCCATGTACAGCCCAGGCCAGCGGGAAGACCCGCTGACTCCGGGCTGCATGCCAGTGCCTGCTTTGAAATGTACAAGAGTCCCCAGCGAGGGCTCTTGGGCATTTCAAAGCCATGGAGCCCCGGGTCACGACTCCGGGTTTTGCATGGCATTTCAGAGGAACACGGGATCCAGGGCTGCCCCTTTGAAATGCAGAGGCGGCGTTTTAAAGGGGGGAAGCGCCACACAGCTGAACCACGGATCGGCTGTGCAGCGGCTGCCCCTTTGAAATGCCGCCTTGGGGTTTCAAAGCTGCAGTGCTGCACAGCTGTGCAGCGCTGCCACTTTGCAGTATCCCTTCCCCACTCACCCCACTTTGCTGCTTCTATTTCTTAGCAGCGGGGGGGGGAATCAATTAGTTGATTAGTCAAGACAGATAAGCAAATGCTTATCGGATAGTCAACTAATCCTTAACATCCCTAGTCTGGATTGGAGTCTATTCTATAGAGCCAGCATTACCCAAACATCCGACTGAGGTTGTTCTCTGCTCCAAACAGCTCACTGCCCCTATTGGGGGAGATGAGCCCGGGGGGGTCTGAGCACACTGGGAGGCGAGGGAGAGTGATTGATGGAATTTACAACATAACTAGATTTCAAGCAGGTGTTTCTTCTTGGCCACCGAACAACTGATCAGTTTAACCCCGGTACATCCGACCCTCGTGTATGGGGGAAGAAAGGGACTCCGTGACCTCATCATGCCTCTCCACTGTTAATCAGTCTGAGCTAGGAGCTGGGGCAATTACCTGGGGTGCCTCCCCCTTGGTACCTGGGGGCAGCCTCAGGATCCAGAAGTTCCTGTTCTTCAGCAGGTTCTCCATGTTCTCCAGCCGTCGCTGCAGCAGCCCGTACTCCTGGATCAGCGTCTCCAGCACGGCCCACTTGCTCTCCAGCTGGTTCCCAAACTCCACCACGGTCCTCTCACACCCTATCAGCTTTTTCTCGGCCGTCCCCATTCTCCCTTCCAGATTCAACAGCCGGATGGCATGAGCGTCCACTTTCCTCTCCGTGGCTTGGATGGCAGCCCCCAGCGTCAGGGAGATCTCCTCTGCCTGCAGCTGGGTCTCTCTCCCGGACGCTCGGCACGGGAGAGCACGAGGCTGGGGCCCCCTGTGACTGTCCCATTCTAGAGCCTGCGTGTGCGGAAAGACCGTGAAAACAGAATGGGGAGCACGTTCCTACTTGTCGAAATCCGCCCCCCAGAGCAACAGACGCTTGGATGTTCAAGGCTGCTCGAGGCTTGATGGGACCTCAACTTTATTCTTTTTGAAGGCCCACATGAAACCACCTAGCCCAGAGCTACTCAACTTTGGAAGCCCTGGGGGCCACAATGATACTCTCAGCACATACTGCCACTTAAATGCGGTTGCATGTATATGCAAATATATATGCAAATGTATGCAAATAGCTTCTTTCACACTGACGGGCATGAATACAAAGATTAAGGCAGGACTACACAACACCCAGGCCCCATTGAAGTCAGTTCTGCTGATATTAATAAAACGCAATAGTTACCCTATTGCCACCCTATGACCGCACTTTTAATGAGCACTTTTAAAAAGAAAGTCGTATACCAGTGTTTTGGGTGTTTAGCTTGAAGCTTCAAGGTGTGCGTTTCTTGGAGTGATTTTACTCAGAAAATGTTTCCAAGCCAGAGGGCTCCAACCTGCGGTGAGTGGAGAGCTGGGCGAGTCAGGCCGGACACAAGAAGCAAAAAAGGACAGGGCCCGGGAGGGCTGACGTCTCCACACCGGAGTCCGTTGCTCTGTGTGGGACGGAGGCAGGGCTGCTCAGCCACGGCGCTAGACCCAACTGTGGCCAGTCAGCACCTCTCAGGCTCTGCCCGCAAGGCTAAGCCACCAGCACTTCCCAGAAAAATTGCCCGGTGCTCCCAGCACCTCCTCCCTGGGGGCTAGAAACGCCGACATCCTGTACCCGTCTGTTCCAGCCAGCCCGTCCGCTTGCCTCTTTCAATGCTCACCCTGCCTGGGAGATGCCTCGCCATTGTGGAGTGTGTTCCCAGTGGAGGTCACAGGATCCTACCCACGGGCCGTGTGTTGAGCCCCGCGGAAACCAAAACTGCACTGCGAGCTGCAAACAAACAGGCCACGGGCTGCATGTGGCCCTCGGGCCACGTGTTGAGTAGCCCTGGCCTAGAGGATCACTCTCATGCTAGGCAGAGGTCAGGGGAGAAATCAAGCCCTTAAATGCAACGAGATTCTCGAAACGAAGGCGGAAAGGCCAGGGCTCAGGTCCATTTCTGTTCTGAGACACGATTCTGTAGCAAACTGCGCCCTGGGACACTTGGGTCTGGGATTTTCGGATCCATTTTGCTCAGCGTGGAAAGAAAAAAAAAAGAGGCACCAAGACCTCAAACTAGCCCTGCAAAGTCAACCCAGACCCTAACTCAGCAGGTGCTCCAACTATGGCTCACGGACCGCCCCGATCTTGGGGAAGAGCCCACAGCCAACCCAGCCCTAGCACCACTGGCCCTCCAGGTGGGCAGCATCTTCACTGGAAGGAAGAACCTGATGGCCTGCGTAAGGAACAGGGGACCAAGAGGAGCCAAGACCAGCGGCTCCTACATCAGAGGGGGGAAAGGAACCAGAGCCACCTGGCAGGGACTGGTGGCACCGGTGGAACAATTACAAAAGCTCCGTAGCTCCCTGGAGCATTTTTGCAGGCCAGGAGTTGCGGCAGGGAAGCTGTGGACAACCCGCAGGAAGGGAGGGAGGCTGGCGGCCCAGGGAGGCGGCCCACAAGACACAGAGTTTATTAAAAGGGAAGGACCAGCGGACTAGTTGCTCGGGGTGCAGCTGCACTTCCAAGCGCCCTATCGATGAACACCCCGAGGGCCCCCGCGGGGAAGTTTCCTGTTTCGCGGCCCTGGGGCCCCAGCAGCAGGGGTGGCGGGAAGCCTGCCTGGAACCCCCCGGTAGTGGCTGGGGGTGCAGCTGCACTTCCAAGCGCCCTATCGATGAACACCCCGAGGGCCCCCGCGGGGAAGTTTCCTGTTTCGCGGCCCTGGGGCCCCAGCAGCAGGGGTGGCGGGAAGCCTGCCTGGAACCCCCCGGCCTGTAGGAGACAGGCTGCCCCCCGGCCCCGGCCAGACAAAGCGGGCTCCGGGCTGCAGGCGGAGCACGTGCCCCGGTAGAGCCAGCCGCCCCGCCTGGCCCCCAGGAGCAGCAGCGCTGCCCGCCCCGCAGCCACAGAGCCCCCCGGGCGTCTCCGAGCCCCGGCCGCCGAGAGCGAGCGGGCCCCGCGGCTGGGGAGCAGGCAAGCCCATAGCCCCGGCCCCCCAGACGGGTCCTTACCTGGGCAGCGGCCCGCTCGGCCATGGCCTTTGTTCCCGGGCCGGGCTCGCCCCTCGCCGCGGCGGCCCGAGGAGCTGGGCGCGGCTGCTCGGCAGGGAAGGAGCCGGGCGGCGGGATCCGACCCCGCAGCGGGCCGAGTTTACGGGCCGGCCGGGGGGAGGCAGGGAGCCGCGGCCTGGTGCCGGGCCGGAGTCAGCGGGCGGGGAGCGGGGCGGAGCCGCGAGCGACAGCGGCCCCTGCCGGTGGCCAGGAGGAACGCGGCGCCGAGCCTTGGTGGATGCTCCACGGTGCAAGGTCCGTACCACTGGCTCCTTGGAGCGGACTCGGCTGCACGCCCGCTCCTTGCAGCGCACGACTGGGCCGGCCACGAGGGGCTCCCCGGACCCCGGCTGCCCGCCCTACGCTGCAGCTCAGACTCCACGTCAGAGGGCTTGTAGCCACCGGGTTCCCGACCTCCCTCTTAGCCCTGAGCCGTTGCTGGCCCGGTCCGGGTGGCAGCCCCTGGTGCACAGCACGGTCCCATCGCTGCAAGCAGGGGGCAGCCCAGCTCAAGTGCCATGGGATCCCCCGCGGTTCCCATTCTGACGGCCCCCGCCTCTGGCTGGCTAGGGACTGGCACAGCTATACCACCAGGGGACGATGAGAGCAGCAGCCCACAGCTTCTTGGTGCTGCTTCTCACCCCATTGGGGTTTTTTCTTACCCCCACCAGGGCAGCCTGGGCCTCCACACCCTGTGGCCTTCTTCCTTTCCAGCAAAAGGAAGGGTCAGTCAGCAAAGGTCCAGAGAAGAGCTTCGAAAACACACTCAAACCGCCATCATTTATTACTTTTAACACCTCACGCTGTCGAAACCAATCTCATGATTTTTCAATGCTTGGCAGTGCCAATATTATTCTGACTACAGGGGGGAGCTAGATCAGACCATGCAATTGACAAACTAATGAGGTTGCTAGGCAAGTGCTAATAAAACTTGCAAGTCTTAACAGGTACAGCCAAGCGTGCTTCAGCCATGGGCACAGGGGAAAGAGGGAGAATAAAATAACAAGCAGGGAGAGAAGGAGCGTGGGGAGGGACAGAGAGCTCCGGGACTCGCCCAGCAGGGGCTTCAGAAAAGGAAACACTGTATTGACAGATTTTGCAAAAAAGGTATTACAAAAACACAACCACAAACCAGCAGCTGACATCACACAGAAAGAGACTTCTAGGTACAAGTCACCTCAGGAACAACACTTACTGCTTATAGAACTCAACCACTATTTACAAAAGTCTGAAAAACTTGGGTCAGTTATTTCATACATTTAAATAGCTTAGATCAACTGTGAAATAGAGTGCCCTGTGTTTTATTATATCTGATAATAAGATCCTAGGACTGATATATCATTAACTACAACAACCCCTTATAGGGGTTAGCGGACGTTGCTGTCACTTGTGTCACTTACTCTTGCGACCAGTAAAAACCACCTTCAGTGGGAAGAGTTCATATGAATGGATCCCAGGCACCTTCTCATTGGACCAAGTCCAACACAGAATCGAGAGTCTGTTTGGAGCCTCAATTGACCCCGTGGGGAGTAGAATGAGAGTAGAGGATCGCTGCAGTCACAGCTTCTTCTTGGGTTACACTCCCCCTCAACAGCCTTCAGCTGTGTCCATCTGCCTCCCACCCAATCTATCTTCCCGTTCCAGGGACTGTTTCTGCACTCCCTTCTTTTTTGTCCCTTTCCCCATCCCTGCCTCATCTCTCCAGCCAAGTTTCTCTCGTCCACTAGACTGACTGGCCTGCTGGCTAGGAATGGTGCCCCACGCCCGACCACTTCCAGCACTGCAAGGAAAGCCAGTGGAAAACAATGATCTAGACATTGCCTCCCACCTATAAATGTGTCCCAGAGGCAGGGTAGCTGAGGAAACACCTGCTAAATGCAGACCCCTGCTGGCAAGCTGGAGAATAGCTCATTTATTCTCTAGGGGTGAAGTCCACAAGGCCTACAAGTTCCATGCAACCCCCATGGGGTTTAAGTGGTGCATAGGCCTCATGCTGGCCCTCTGCACGGGGTGGATTTCACCCCAGTCTTAAGAGGGATTTCATTTAAAAACGTCAGTGAAGCAAAGCTTTGCATCACAGCCCCAAGGCCGGGCAGTGGCTTCCGTTCATTCACTGCAGTGCTGCATTTCACATGCTTGCTCTCGTTTTAAACGCAACAGCCCCTCAGTCCCCACTGAGGGGGAAGCTACTGTTTATTTTCTTTTTTCACATTGAGGATGGCAGTCTGGGTTCCCATCTCCAGCTGCCCTGAGCCCTCCATAGGCCGGGGGCTCCGAGTGTGAATTTTCTGGTGGCAGTTCAGTGACTCCTTGTATCGGAAGTTCTTCCCGCAGACGGGGCACTGATACGGCGTCTCCCCTGTGTGCACCCGCCAGTGCTTCAGGAGATGATCCCTGCGGATGAAGCTTTTCCCACACTCTGTGCACTGATACGGGCGCTCTCCTGTGTGGATCCGTTGATGCCGGATAGCTTTGGAGAGGTCCCGGAAGTCCTTGCCGCAATACGTACATGTCAGGGGCCCGTCTCCCTTCCCCGTGTGAAGTTTCTGGTGTAAGATAAGACTCACCTCCAAACTAAAGCTCTCCCTGCACTGAGTGCATGTATATGGCCTCTCCACCATATGGTTTGCCTGGTGTTTTACAAAGCCATATTTGACATTGGAGCTTTTCTCCGGCTCAGGGCGCTTGGAGGGTTTTGAACGGACTGGCGCCGGGGGTCTAGGAGGCGTTGAGACTTTGGGTTTCTGTCTCATGTTTTCTCCATGCTCCAGGGAAGTGCAGGCTCCCCCTGATGCATGGATTCTCTGATGTGTGGCAAAAAGCTGTTTGTCTACAAAGCTTTCCCCGCACTCGCAGCATATGTACGGCCCCTCTGCTGTGTGCGCTTCCTCAGAGACATTTTTCGTTAAATCTCTTCCTCGGCGAGCAGATCGCCGCAGCCCACTCCCGGGAGGGCTTCTCTGTGGCATCGCTGAGCTGGCCTGGCTCTCCTGGGTCAATTCCTCCTCAGGACTGGTGAAAAGCTCTTCCCAGTCTCCTGGTAACAGGCTGGGAAGATCTAGGTTTGCAGGGCCTTCCTCCCCGCACTGCTGTTGCTCGTCTGCCAGAAGAAAGAACAGAGACATTCACTTCATTCAGGTTTTGTCTACACTGCAAGTTTTTGCGGCAGAAAATATGCTAATGAGGGACTCATTAGCATGAGTTACAATGTCATTAGCATATTTTCTGCCAATTCTTTTCGCGCAAAGGGTTTTTGCGCAAAAAGAAGCAGTGTAGCCGCTTCCGTTTTGCACAAAAAAACCCTTTTGTTCAAAAACCCCTTGCACAAAAAGAATTGGCAGAAAATATGCTAATGACATCACGACTCATGCTCTCATTAGCATATTTTCTGCCGCAAAAACTTGCAGTGTAGACATAGCCTCAGTGACATAACATTGGCCTCATCACAGACACTAAACTCTCTGGGGCGTGGACTGTCCTGTGTACAGTGCCTACCACAACAGGGCCATGACCCCCGACTGGGGCCTCCAGACCTTAATGGCATGCAAACAGACCCATACAATTCTGATTCACCTCTGGAGTCAGGCGTCATGGTAAGGAGACCCGTCTGGAGAGCGAGAAGAGACATTGGGTTTCTCAGGAGATGAAACAGAACAGACCCTACAATATGGCACTTACACTGTCAGGGTATTTGGAGAGCAGGGACCTACCTTTGTTCTGGTTTTGTACAGCACCTAGCACAATGGGCCCTGCTTTGCACCAGTGTCTGGCAGTTATCAAAGACACTGGAAAGCAACACAGACAGGAGTACTGCAGACTTGGCAATTTTAGGTGAAGTCTGAAAACATCACTGATTTCTGCAGAATATGACTTTTGATTTTAAAAACAGTCCCAGGTGCAGCTGGGCGGGTGGCATTACCTATTATTAATGTCGCCTAACGCTTTCCATTATAACACTCTGTTTTCAGTTGCTTGGAACTTTGCCAAACGTTAAATGGGTCAGAAATTTTCCAAGCTGCGTATCTGCCTCCGGCTGAATTGTGTGTGGGGGGGTATACTTTCAGCCACAACATTTCAGCCATTCATGAGAACAAGGCTAGGGGAAATGTTTGGTTTTTCAGTGTTAAAATCCTAGCAACCTTATTTTTGGAGACGCTCTGGCATGCCCAGGCTTTGGGGCAGGGACTGGAAATTTGGCAGGGGTCCTTTGAGCCATGGATGTGCTTTGTGATGTTCCTATGAAAATCCACCCAAATCTGGCCAAGTTATAACCCTCTGAAAAATCTACATTTGCACATGCTCACTAGGGACGTCTCACAGCTTCACTGATAAATGATTCAAGGAATCTGTCCATGCTATGCACACTCTAGCCCCTCACAGAGTGTGTGTGCCGGACTTGGCATGCACCATCCCCACAGAGTGACTGAGAAACCTTAATCCTAGCATTTCCCAACCCAGCTGTGCTTCACTTGCAACCCTGATGTGCTTGTAACACCGTTTTTGTGTATCTCATGATTGGCCCAATGTCCCTTTAAACAGGCTTTGCAGGAAACCACAGCAAAAGTGGCCCCATGGGGTCCCATCAGCAGAGTCCACGTGTGACACAGGGCAGCGCTCAGCTGGACTCTAGAGACTGGTAAATACTATTTTTATGTGCCCTTGTTTCTCTAGGCTGGATCCTCCATCCCCCCTACGCACTGTTCCTGCTTGTGGTCTGGCTACACTGTGTCCCCACTGCCTTAAGCTGAAGTCCTCCTCTCTCCCCAATTCCATTACTGCTCTCCAGGCTAGGTTATCCTTTACCCCCTCATTCGCTCCTCCACTCTTGCTTCAGTTCCTCCAGACGCCTCAGCAGACTTTCTTCCACACTGATCCCGCGTCTGCCTACTACTCTGCCAAGTGGCACCAGGCATGAGAGACTCGTCTCCCTCCACTCCCTCTCTCCCATGGAGGCTATGATCCACCCAATGGCCTGGAGCCCATGGCTCCTCTGGTACCGCTCCCTCCCTCACTGTAACCAACAACTCCCCTTCCCCACTGTCTGGGAGGAGACCCTCAACCTAGATCTACATAGCACCATCCCTTCCACCTCTGAGTGCACAGAGCTCTGACATTCTGGGTCTAAAACTCACATGTGCCAGGGTCGGTGGGGATCCCGCCAACTTCAGACACTCCCTGATTTGCCACAGGCAACTCCTCATGTTTAATCCACATGCTCTCGCTGGCAGTAGAACCGGGAGATTCTGTTCATGGGGGAGACAATAACGTGATGGTTTATTAATGTCCACTGGATGCTTTAGAAAAGATTTCAGGACAGAGGTCAACACCAGATCACAACCAGAGCTAGCAAGGAATGGCAAAAAGGCCTAAGGATAAGCAAAACACTGACAGCTCATCAGCAGAGACACGCATGCAGACTGCCCCAGGTTTCCACAGCTCTCACACTATCTCTAAGGAGTTTTACTCCATTACTCACCCAGGCTGGGGTCTTCAGGGATTTGTCTGCTCTCAGAGTCACCCTGATTTCCTACACCGGGTGCTTCCCCTCGTTCAATCCGGGACAGAAGGTCGGGTTTGGAAATGGCAGCATCTGTATATGGAAATAGATATTGGGGGTGGAAAGCTTTATTCACACTCATGGGGTGCAGGTGAAAATGCAGATTCCCCAAAGCACTGCAGGCCAGCCCCCTTTCCCTGCTAGGCGTGACAGGAACGGAGGCAGAAGACAACGTTTCCCACCCCCAGGACTGAGCAATCACACCAATCAGCACACGGCTCACTCTGCCTGGCTCGAGCGTTCCCAAGAGCGCTCTGCGGCGAGGGCTAGGAGATGCATCCTGCAGCATGGGGAGCAGAAGAGGAACATTATTTGTGCTTACCTGAAAAATTCCTTTCTTCGTGTGACAAGGTCACCTGATTCATTACAAGGGGCACTCGAGCCTGCATGCAGCCTTGCCAGTCACTGGCAGCAGGGAAATGCCCTGCATCATGAAGTTTCTTCCAGCTAAGGTAACTTCCCCTGCCAGGATCCCGTTACAGATTCTGTTAGCCCTAACTTCAAGGAGAAGGCACAAGTGTTCCTCCTACCGCCCGGCATATTCCACTTAATGACAACGAACCCAAATCCCTGGAGGCCAAGTTCCATCTCTAGAGCCTGGCATATTCCACTTAACGACAACGAACCCAAATCCCTGGAGGCCAAGTTCCATCTCTGTTCCGGAGGATGCACTTGTTTCCAGGTGGGCCAGACCAGGGGACATTACTACTCAAAGAATCACCCAATCTAGGAGTTTCCTCTACAGTCCAGAAACTCCTCCAGTCTGATCCCCCAGCGTAAGACAGACCAGAGAACTGCCCCGAATCAATCCCGAGAGCAGATGTTAGAAAACATCTACCCCCCCATTGAAAAACGAAAATTGCCAGAGATGGTGAATCCACAATGACCCTTGGTCAGCTGAGCAGTTAGTTACTCTCACTGAAGCACTTACATCTCATTTCCAGTTGAATTTGTCTAGCGTCAGCTTCCAGCTTGTGTATCCCTTCCTCCCGCAGATACTTGTTAGACTGTAACCAAGCCTCCCCTTCTTCTTCTTTGTGAAGCTAAAGCAATGGTCACCAACCAGTAGATCAGGACCTGCTGGTAGATCTTGGAGCCTCTGACAGGTGATCCTGACTGGTTTGGCCAAAAGGCATCAAGTGCCCGCACTTCAGCTGCCCCTCCTCCCACTGCTGCGCACCTCCTGCCCTTTGCCTTGGAGCTGCCTCCCCCTACCTGCCCAGGAGCCTCCTGTTTGTGGTACAGAGCAGGGAAGGGAGAGGAGGGCATTGATGTCAGGGTGCCCCCCTCTCCCATCCTGAACTCTATCTCCAGAGAACGGACGGAGAGGGGCACGGGACTTTGGATGGAGGGAGTTTGCTGGCTGCTGTTGAGAGTGTTGCAGGGCCAAGGCAGGGGTTAGTCTGCATTAGCCCCACTGCATCACACCCTGGAGCCACCAGAAATAAGCAGTGTCCAGCTGGAGCCAGAATCTCGAACCCCTGCCCCAGTCATGAACCCTCCTACACCCCAAACCCCTGTCCTAGCCCTGAACCCCTCTCAAACCACAAATCCCTTAGCCCAAGACCAGGACCTGTGTCTCAACCCACTGCCCCTGCCTGGTGAAAGGGAGGGAATGGGGGAAAGAGGGAGGACGGAGTGAGCAGGTGTAGGACATCAGAGGAGGGGCACGAAGGAAGCAGGGTAAGGGTATTGGGTTTGAGGTAGATCATGGTTTGCACTTAAATTCAAAAAGTGATCTTGTGCTTAAAAAGGTTGGAGACCCCTGAGCTAGAGACCCAGCTCTTTGAGTTTCTCTCTCTAAGGCAGCTTTTTAACCCTTTGATCATTCTCCTGGTTCTCCTCTGCTCTCTCTCCAATTTATCCACATCACCCTTGAACTGCAGGCACCCGAACCGCACTAATTTCCAGCAGCAGTTGCATGAGGGATGTTACAGAGTGTGGAATTTGTTAATCACGTCGCCGACAGACAAGCTGAGTCAATAGGGTTCACACTGCAAGCAGGGGGCTGCAAAGACCCTACCTGGCCTTGGTTGCCTGCGCTGGGCCTGTAGAGTGAGAAAGTCCACTCTTCCAGGTTAAACCCTCCTGCCCCTGCATGAAAAACCAGGAACCTCTGGCCACCACAGAAATCACATTTTGGTAGAACAATGAGGAAACTTCTGGCTTTAGAAAATGGGAGGCTGGGGAAGGTGGAAACCAACAAACAATGAGCCAAAAGGCACCTTTCTGCCTCCTGGTTCTTCCACATCTGGGACGTGTCCCTCTCCTCACCCCACAGCCATCTGCCGGGGAGCAGTGGGAGGTGGTGACCAAGGGTCCCTCTAAGATTTTCCATCCATGAGCGGAGTGAGTTCTGTCTTGTGCACCAACAACGAGGGCACATGCGCTTGTTCGGATGGGTGTCACCATGGCACTCACCAGTGGTGCTGCCCCCAAGAGACTCTCCCAGGTAGTGCCCCCCACCTCTTGGGGAGAAGGTGAGACGTGTCGTCCGTGCCCCCCTCCCGGGCTGCTGTGGGTCAGAGGGAAGCTGCTGCCAGCACCCAGGGTGTGCAGGGTGGTGTTGGGGACAGAGGGCTCTGAGGGGCAAAAGAGAGGTGCAGGAGGGTGGAAGAGAGGTGCAGGGAGCCCCCCAGCCCCAAGGGCAGCCGCACCACAGCCCAGCTCCAACTTTGGGCAGCCGCCGTGTGTCAGCCCAAAGAGTCGGGAACCCTCTTTGTGGTCCTTAAGACAGCTCCAGCCCTGGGGAAGGGCTAGAGATGGAGCTGGCCCCAGCCACTGGCGCAGCCCCCTCATTACACAGCCCCGGCCACCCAAGTTGGCCCCAGACACCCGAGCAGGCCCCTAGCTCTCCAAACAGGCCACCAGCCCCCCGAGCTGGCCCTGCCCCCTCCCCACCATACAACAGGTCCCAGCATCCCCATGCCACATTGCAAGTCCTAGCCCTGGCCATGAAAGCAGGCCCTGGGCCCCAGCCGCCGAAGCAGGCCCTGGCCGCCAGAGCAAGTCTCAGCATCCCCCCACCACATGGCCTCAGCCCCTCCCCAGCGGTCCCCCACCACACCGCCTCAGCCAGCCCTGGCCCGGAGCAGTCGTCCGCCTTCCAGCAGGAAAGAGAGCGCTGCTGTGCGGCTCAGCAAAGTAGGCGGGTGGGTGGAGAATTGTTTGTGCGCAGGCACGCACCTTCACAGGAACCATGGCAGTGACACATGGAACTGGCAACACAACCTGGCTGAACAATACCTAGGTTGTCAGGGCATGGTGCCCCACGGCAGCAGTTGGGGATGACAGCACACCACGTTCTCAGTCTTTCAGGAGAGGCAGGAAATCCTTGTCCCCCATTACACCTTCCCATACCCAGCAATAGCTTCTCTGGCGGATCTGGAGACACCCCCCCACTCCGTGCACTCCTGCCCAGAAGGGTCTATCCTGGTTTGTTCCATTGTACTATTGGATCCTTTTCTCTGCTTTAGCCTGCCGGCCATCCTCTCCTATGTAGGAGGGAAGCGTATGTGCACGCTCACCTAGAGGAATCCGCCTTTTTCTATGGCCTGGTCTTCTCTGCATCCATCTGCCCTGCTGCATGCTGGGAAGGTGAGCATGGAAAACAATGTTCATTTATTTGTTTTCCCCCGTGGGGATCGGTTCCCATAGTGCCGCTTCAGAGGGAGGCAAGCAACCGGGCTCAGCTTGCTCTGAAAATAGTGCCAGCGACTGGGGAGCTCCCTGTGTGCAGAGCCTGGGCTCCTGCGTCTCTCCAGCCCCACATGCTCCTCTGGTCTATCAAGGAAGGTACTGGCTGAGGGTGGGCTTCCCTGGAGCTCTACTGCTCTCTGTGGCAGGGGCTCCAGGGGGCAAATCAGAGCTGGGTTCACTTTCGAAGTCACAGCCTGGGATATAAGTAGGAATCCGGGGGCAAGGTACAGAGATGGCACCAGGGAAAGCCGGGCCCAGAAGCCCTTTGCTGCACACACTGGTGATGGCAGTGATCTGGGGGCAAGGTACAGAGATGGCACAAGGGAAAGCAGAGCCCAGAAGCCCTTTGCTGCACACACTGGTGATGGCAGTGTCTGTGCTGGGTCAGGTCCCTCCATCCAGAACCCATGAGGAAGTGCAGCAGGAGATGGCACCAGAGCGGCACTCAGAGGCATGGCTCTAGGGCAGATCGCTGGGCGATGCACGATCTCTGTGCTAGGGCACAGCCCTTCCAGCTCCCTTCCTGTCGTGGAGACGGCAGGCTGGCTTGCTCAATGGCCAGCTCTTCCCAACCTGACCTGCTACTTCTCCTGCCTGCGGAAGGTGAGCTCAAGATGATCCCACACAGACGGGACTGGGGGGAGGGGCAAACTGCACCCTGCACAAAGCACCAGCCTAGTATCCAAGATGCTTAGTAAGCGGGTGAAGGGGGAGACAGAGCTCCTCTTGCCGCTGGTTGTTCCCAGCCTAATTTGGTCTCCAAAGCCTGGAGGGGCAGCAGCTGCTGCAAACGCCTCCAAATAGGAAGCACAGCTAACTAACACCTCCACAATCCAATGGAGCCTCAGGACACAGCTGGGAAGCAGGCAACATACAGAGTCCAATGGTGAGTCTGAAGATGTGAAAGGAAATCTGGTGTTTCCCACTGCGATACTGTGCAGCAGGGATGGCTGGGGGATATGTGGCTGTGGGGAGGCAGAAAACTGGAGGGAACTTCAGGAGACAGGGCACTAGAGATGTGAATGAGTAGTTGAGCAGACAATAAACTGATAAGCCTAGTCTTATCGGTTAATCTGACTACTTGCATTCTCCCATCCCCGCTGCCTCTGTATCAAAAGCAGCAAGGGCGGAAAGCAGAAGCCAGTACTGGGGGGAGCTGGCTTAAAAGCCGGTATCTCCCAGCACCGGCTCCGCAATGTTGCCTACCCTGCGCCCCAGCCAGCTGCCTCTATCAGAGGCAGCAGGGTGGGAGGGGACAAGGGAGGCTGCCACAGGGCAGCCCCTGTCCACGGCAGCCCAGGCTGCCACAGAGACTGCTTCACAGCAGCCTCCTTCGCTCCTTTATTCCCCCAGTAGTCTCTGTCCGCAGAAAGCTCGGACCCCTCATGGACAGGGGCTGCTGCCACCCTGCACCTGTATCAGAGGCATCAGTGCAGGGCAGCAGGTCTGCGAGGGGAGCTGGTTTTTAAATTGGCTCCCCTTGCAGACCAGTTCCTGCCTGGCACCCCTCACTGCTGCCTGTGATACAGAGGCAGCAGGGGGCCCCCTGGGAGTGGGGCTGGAGTGGATTGGCTGCCGGCTCCACTGGGGGGAAACTATAGAATAGTCGACTAACTGCTAAGAATTCATGGAGTTACCTGGCTATTCTATTACCCGCTATCTAACATCCCTACAGGGCGCTCTCATATTGCCAGTGACTGCCAGAGCTGGTTCTGCCCCCAAAAGGCAAGCAGACTGAAGTACCCAATTTAATGGATCAGTGGATCATAGCACAAAGAAGAAAGGTAAATTCCCTTCTTTCCACAGAGCATTCTTCTCATACTGGTGCCCCAGTTCTGCGATAACGACTATCTGTCTCCGCTCTGGTACCCAGGATTCTCCCAAGTTCTGGATGTAAGGCTGCTTAGTCAACCTAACTACGTATGACTAGAATGGTGCTTCTGCCAATGCAAGTCACTCTCTACATTCGCTAATAATTCCATCTCTGGTACATGCGTAGTGCTTAGGTCATGGTAGTTTGGGTGACACAGACATTGTAAATTGCACAGTGTCCTGCCGCCACCTCTCAGCAAGGAATTGGAGGGGGAAAGAGGCCAGACACCACCTGAACCCCTTGCCCACCCAGAGAGGCAGCCTTGGGCTTCCCTTCCCCCCCACCGCAATCTCTCACTGGGAGGTGGCAGTAGGGTTTCAGCTGCCAGTCTAGCAACAGGGCTCTCAGCCAGAGATCTCCTCCCTGTCCTGGGGCTCTCAGCCTGAGCTGGGAACCCAGCCCTGGGCTTCATTTCACAGTAGGGAGCCTACCAGCAATGAAATTGACTTTCTTGTCAGTTTCACAACTATTATTTCACATTTGGTCTCCGCTCCAGCTGTCAGCCCCAGAGCCAGGGGCTCCAGCTCTGAGCCTCCCATGGGCTGACAGCAAAGCTCCAGCTGTCAGCCCCAGAGCCAAGGGCTCCAGCTCTGAGCCTCCCATGGGCTGACAGCTACAGCTGGAGCCACAGGGGAAATGTGAAATAGAGGCAGCTGTGAAACTGACAAGAACATCAATTTCATTGCTGACAGCTACAGCTGGAGCCACAGGGGAAATGTGAAATAGAGGCAGCTGTGAAACTGACAAGAACATCAATTTCATTGCTTGTAAGCTTCCTGTTATGAAGTGGAGCCCAGTGCCTGGCTCATTGCTGGGGCTGCTAGGTCTGAGGCAGGAGGGCTACAGCGATAAGCCCCACACTCCAGCTGTCATCGGCCCACTTCATCGGCCCACAAGCCTTTCTGATAAGGACACGCCCCACCTGCAGAGCGCCTCAACAGCCAATTTCTTTATGCAACCCACACATCTGCTGGGTGTGATCCTCTCTGTGAGTGGTCTCAGTGCCACTACATGGGACAGTGAGAGAATGAGTCTGCTCAACAGCCTTAGGTACCTGCAAACTGGCTTTTAGCTCATGCGGTAGAGGCTCATGCACTAAGCTCCAGACGTCCCAGATCCGATTTTGCCTGCAGATAATCAGGGTTTGTTGGCATTACAATTACTGTAGTGGCCGCAGGTCCTCCTAACATAAAGGGGTAGTGTAGACAAGCCCTGAGCTAGGTGTGCAAACTGTTGGGGCTCTTCTGGGATGGACACACACATCCACTGCTAGACTAAGATCAATAAGGACCGACAGTTGATTATCCAGGCTGCACTAAGCACCCTCCTATTGGGTCGTGGTCTCCATATCCCATTACCCGATGCCCCAAACCATCCAGATCCCTGATTCACCAGGATGCAATGGAGCTGGCACAACAAAGACCTGGGGGAAATCTGGTACTGCAGAGACCACGCAGGTTCAAAGAGAAGAACAAAAGCCCAGCCAGCCTTTACCCAGAGAGATCACAGCCTCGTAGTTGCCCTTCATGATGTGCCTGTAAAGCTCCTTCTGCCATTCGTCCAAGCTCTTCCACTCCTGCTCAGAGAAATTAAACGAGGCGTTGTTGAAAGTCACCGGGACCTGCAATTACAAGGGTGATACACTCAGCACCTTCTATTCCTCTTCCCAAGACTGGGCCTAGCTCTCCTCAGCTATACCCAGCTGAGATCCAGGCCCCGCTGAAGTCTCTGATGAAACTCCCTTTGACTTCACTGGGAACAGAATTTCTCCTCACGAGTCCTTGCCTCTTCCTACAGCTGAAGTCCTCTCTAGGATTTCTCTTGGGAATGCCTGCTGTCTGCGTCATCCTTTAGTTGCATCTATTGCAGTTGACCCTGATAAGGATGTTAAATTGTGTGTGGAGTTTGTAAACATGTAACCTCTGAATTGTATAACCGCCTCCCTCCCCCTCACAACGCTGCCTCTGCACAGGGGGGCAGGCAGGAGTTGGTGCTGCTGAAACATGTAACCACTTCCCCCCCGCTTTTCAGCTGGCTCCCTACAAGCACCAGTTCCTGCCCACCTCACCCCCAGCCTCTGACAGAGGCAGCGGGGTGGGGGTGGAGGGAGCCTTGTGTGTAACCCTGAAGGTTAACAAATGAGCTCAGGCTCATCAGTTAACCGTAGACAATGTCATATCGCTAACCCTGATCCTACATGGATGGACATGAACAGACACTGTGCTCACGCAGAGCCCCCAGGATGGTAAGAGACTCTGCAGGAAGGAAAGGTCTGCCCACATGGATCTGACTGCCTCAGAGTGTAAGTCTGTCAGAGCAGCAGCCTGTCTTATGTATGTGCGGTCAAGTGCATGCATATACCGGACACTAGCTTGTAGGTAAATAATACTATGCTGAGCTGCCTTGGGCACATCACACAACCTGTTGCCAATAAAAAGATGCTTTAGTTGCAATTGACTGAACTGTTTCAATTGAGTGACCTGGCTTCTCTGGGGATGTTATACCTTGCATTTAAATCACCCATTAAGCACAGGTATGGCGATGCCAACTACACTGGTCCATTTACATTAGAACTCCCCATACAACCAAACATATGAGTCAGATGGGCACAGAAAAGAAACAGAGTAAGTAAGTGGTAAGTTAGCCTGCCTGTTCCTTTCTCAATTTGTTTATCACTTGATTAGTGAGTATCCCTGCCACCCCTTAGCCTGAGCTAAAAGGCTAAATTTCCAAAGGAAACAATGTTAGAAGCAGAAGCCATATAACTTGGGAACACAGGAGGGCTGCAGAACAAGCATGCAGCAAGAACTTATATGGGAAAAGCCATACCGTGACTCTCATTAAAACAAGTTTACTAGTACAGAACATTCTGAGCATATGAAAAGCCCCTTCAATGTAGTAAGAACAGTCACACTGAGTTAGACCGAAGGTCCATCTAGCCCAGTATCCTGTCTTCCGACAATGGCCAATGGCAGGCATCCCAGAGGGAATGAACAGAACAGGGAATCAAGTGATCCATCGCCATCACCCATTCCCAGCTGTCTGATACAGACTCAGGTTTTACATCTCCTCAGCACTAGCTGGAACATCTTTACCTTGGGGACTTCTCCATTAGCGCCAGGGGGGAGTCTAAGGATCCAGAAGTTCCTGTTCTTCAGCAGGTTTTCCATGTTCTCCAGCCGCCGCTGCAGTTGCCCATACTCTTGGATCAGAGTTCCCAGCGCAGTCCATTTGCTCTCCAGCTGGTTCCCAAACTCGACTGCTGTCTTCTCACAACCCACTAGTTTTGTTTCTGCCATCCTCATTCTTCCCTCCAGATTCATGAGTTGTGCTGCCTGCACCTCAACCTTCCTGTCCACAGCTTGGATTTCAGCCACTACTGTAAGGGAAATTTCCGCCGCCTGAAGATCCGTTTCTTCCAGAGAAGTTGGTTCAGGGACAGCAAGGGGCTGTTCGAGTGACAGATCCTGAGACTCCATGTCCCATTCAAGAGCCTGTTTACAATGACAGAGATGGGAAAGGGGGTCACGTTCCCAAGAAGTGGAGAAAAACAACTCAAGAGCCACGCACGAGAGTGCTTCCCGAGTCTGGATCTTTGCTATTACAGGGTCACATGAAAGATGCACCAATGAAAATGTTACACCTGAAGTCTGATTCAAGAGGCATTAGAAGTCAATTCAGTTCCTAGCTCTGTCTAGGGATGTAAACAGTGTCGTCAGTTAAACGGTTAACCAATAAGCTGAAGCTTATTGATTAATGCTACCGACTACTTGCATCCCTCCCCCACAGCTGCAGCTACCCCCGCTGTGGCTCTGCATGAAAAGTCACTCAGAAGCCGGCGGGTAGGCAGCCCGACTCAGTCCCAACTAGCGCAGGGAACTATCCTGACCGTGGCTCTGCAAGGAGAGTATTATTGCCGAGCCGGAGGGGGGGGATCGTTGCAAGACCCGGCACGAGCTGGGACGGAGCCAGGTTGCCTGCCCACTGGCTCCTGAAATGCGCTTGGTGCCCGGGGGCAGTGGCGGGACCTGGCGCACGCCGGGACTGAGTGCCGCTTGTGCAAGCACTTACTGGTGAATCGTGTCGAACCGTGGCTCTGCAAGGAGAGTATTATTGCCGAGCCGGAGGGGGGGGATCGTTGCAAGACCCGGCACGAGCTGGGACGGAGCCAGGTTGCCTGCCCACTGGCTCCTGAAATGCGCTTGGTGCCCGGGGGCAGTGGCGGGACCTGGCGCACGCCGGGACTGAGTGCCGCTTGTGCAAGCACTTACTGGTGAATCGTGTCGACACCTTTAGTGAATTGCACCAGGGCCGCGCTTGTGAGCCCCCCCCCGCGCTTGTGAGCCCCCC